AGAGGGGGTCCTTGGTCCTCACACAAAAATTTCCCAATTATTTCTCAGTGTAAGTGAACCAGCTCCATTTTTATTGTTCTACCGAAAAAATTCTTTTTGCCTGAAGTCATTCTCCATGAGTGTGTTTATATGCCAAACACGCCAAAAGACCTTTAGAAGTGGTTTCATAAAGCAAGAACACCGTCGAAGAAAAAACAGGCGGTCCTCAATGAAAGGAATAATCTTCACTACCAAAGGTTACAGACTTACACACCATTAGAGGAGCGATTATTAGTTTGCGAACACCCGCTGAATTCTTCTCAAAAGGGTTGTCATTGTTTCAAGGCTTCTTCGAAGCGTGCTTCTGTGCATCATCTTGAGGCGCGTGTATGGAACATAGAGCTGTGGTTTATTTCCCCTGGAAGCCTCTTCAAAGTCGAAAAAAGACTAATACAGCTCTGAGTAGGTGGAGTCTCTCTTAGTCGTGCGGGGGAGGAGTTGTAGCCAGCGAAAAGCGATGTTGCCTTCCACTTTAAAATGACATGTCGAACAGGCTAAAGGTGATAAGCGTCGGCTTGATGTCAACCCAGGTTTGCGATGTCCAGGACGCCAGAAGGACTTCGGCCAATGGAATTGTCAAAATGTATATTGCTTATCACAAGTTTGGCACCTGATGCGCTTTCTGATGTGTACATTAAGGAAAGGAGGGTGGCTGAAGCCGACGTTACCGTCGTTAGTGAAACAAGACCAAAGACATAGCTGCAAAATACAGGAGATAAGGTTTTTCTTGGCAGATCGTTTCCGAATATGCTACGCACAGGAGGGATCGGATTCACTGTGCAAAGAACAGAGTCCATTAACTATAAGCTGTAGAATTAGATCATCAAAAGTCGCAATTTTGCTCCTTAACGTTGGACAGAAACGAACCATGAAGATTATCCAGGTATACGAGACGACAAGACAGCATGATCAAGAAGAAGTTAGACAGTTTCATGGGAAAATAAATGAATTGCGGATTCCCTCAACATAACCATCAAAACAGACATTGCAGTAGAATCCAAAATACGCAAGAAGCTGCCGAATAGCTTCAAAATTCATCTGCAGCTTTGGAGAGTGGGCGCCGAAGGCAAAAGATCCGAAGTATCAACACCAGATAAGGATCGATGAGAATTATCAGAAACTTGTCTAAATCATGAAAGAAGTTGTGGAGGCAGGCAGCACAAGCGTGAGAAGGCAAGTTTATCGAAAAACTTAGCAAACTCTACAAATTTTGAAAAGGAGAGCGCTTCAGAAGCATGAGGAATACAAGACGAGGAATACCATCGTGTCTATGAACAAACAAGGCGAACTGTAAAAGCGAACAAGAGTGGAAAAAAATAGCAAAAGACGTCCAATGGAAACAAAAGATGCCACTAGCCCTCAAGGACGGAGGAGGAAATTGAGTATTCAGTATAAGTGGCATGGCACGACATGCAAGAGCTTCTTCAGCAAACTGTACGGCGCTTATCACACCAGAGGAACCAGATAAAATCTTGGAGAAATTCGAACATGTCCTAACACATGATGCTGATGATTTCACTTTTTTCGGAAACCTCGCTAAATAGACTCTCATCCATTACAAGTCATCGGCGGTTGCCTATAGTACAAGCGGAAGAAGCACGCGAAAGGCTTCTAACACTGTGCGTGCCATTTGGAAATTACCGCCCCTGGCACGCGTAGCGACGCGTCATACACTTTCGTGCCAAACGGAGTGACGGGTGTGTTCAGCACGTCAAACTCCCCCTTTGAACAACTTCTGATCTAAATCTAAAACTTTGTTCCAACGTCGAAAATGAGGGCAGTCATATCTATCAATAACCCACTGTCAGAGTCTGGGAAATGGGAGGAAATTTTAACTTCCAATTACATTTGTAAAAGAAGATATACTTGTCTGTCTTACATGTTTGCGTTATCCGAGGATGTGGTTTTTTTAAGTAGCCGGTCGTTGTCGTATATGGTAGAACACCACTATAGTAGTGGCTAGGGATAACAAACGGTTGATTGGTGGCCAGCTTTTCGAAATTCGGTCCAAATGTCAGTTTTTGGATGTTAGCCCTCAGAGAAAGTTTGATCCGCTGGAATAGAGCAGAAATATGATATTTGTTTGGTCCATCATACAGATGACGTCACCGTGACGTAAAAGCACCCTGACACTTGAAAATAAGTTATCGGAAACAACATGACAACAATGGTTGATGCTTGAAGCAAATGACTCTAAACACATGGCGGCTTTGTGCACATTGTGTGACGCTCAAAATTATTCGGCTGAGTGCTGTTTTGCTCACAACTTTTTCCTATTAGATCAAACTGCACGAATTTCTACTGAGTGGAACCTTAACCAAGCAGATCATTCTGTTTTCAGCGTGCAAATGAGTCTCGCGAATATGTACGAACAAGTCCTTGCTGCAGCTCAACTTTTTCGGTCCCATGATTGGCAGTTTTCAGAACGATAATTTTCAGAATTTCTTATCGCTCTATACTCTTTTTTCGCTTTCCATTTAATGAGTATTGTTGCGTGTATGTTTATATTCGTGGGGCAGCCGTGAGCATGAAAGCAGGTTCCATGAAGGTCAACACCATTGCCAGGATTCTGGGGATCCTAAACCAAATGGTCCTTCGATTCTCCAACGCTCCCATGTCATACATTTTGTTAATTTAATGCCAGGAGAGACGAACTACACCACTGTACTACAGCCGGACAAGATAGGCGTATCAGCAGGCGTTCCAGAGTCGCCCCTAACTCAGTGTTGTCGACGTTGCTGCGGAATTCGGAGCGAGCGATGGCGTAACCATTAAGGGAGCCCTTCTCAGATAAATCGTGATTCTATCTCACCCATAATTCACTGGCTTGGGATCCATCGCTCACGATAAGAACGAGAAGAACAAAAAATGCATTTGTTTTGGTAAAATTATTCAATTATTCGAAAAACGAAAGGGCTGCTACACGTTCAAAGTACCGCCGGACATCTGTCACAAATGCTGGCGACGGGAATGGTTCCACTTGGTTGTTGGAGTGCCTTCACTAGAAACTCTTCCTGACCTTTTGACTTATTGCATTCACACTCACACTTCTGCATCCTGTTCTATCGATCGATTGGTCATTGCTCTCCAAAATCGTACGCTTAAACCCGATTCTTTCATTGCAGCTGCACCAAGGCGGTCTTTTTCTATGCTGAATCATTGTGCGTGAAGCGTTGTATGCTGTCTTTAGTGATCACAACTGACATATGAGTTTTGGGAAAGAATGCAAAACTTTCCCGGGAAGGATTCATTCAATCGGCAAACCATAGGAGGACGCCTCTATATACCTGGAATTGACGGAAGGCAAACCAAAAGATCGGGGAGCAGTGTTGCGTGGAGGTTGCACGCAGCCACCTCATCCGGAACTCGGCTGAGCTGAGCAAAGCCCATTCTATGGGTTGCAGCAAGCCCACCCTGTTTGGAAGTGATGGAAACGCGTATACAGTGCGCTTCATAATTATAATATCAGGTCGGTCCATAAGTCTTGCAACAAACTACATTTAATGCTATAGAATTTTAGGGAGAACTCCTGAAAATCCGCAACATATTTCCTGACGTAGCATCAACCTTTGCAATTTCAGCCAACGGTCCAGCTCGCTGTCTGGTTACTTATTATGGATATTACACCAATTTCGCGAGAGGGCTCTCGGTGCCCTTAATTTATACGAGTACTGCTTGGAACGTTCCGAAAGTCATGGTAGACCAAGGATTGGCCAGAAGATAGGCGGGGCCCGCTCTCTCAAACCACAGTGCAGCGGCGCTTCACTCTGCTCAGCGTTTACTTTTTTATTCGAAAATAACCCACACTCCAACCACCCCGTGACTGACAGTCACGATACTCTATTTGACGCCGTTGAAAGAGGATCTGGATAGAGATAGAACATTTGCTAGAGCGATTCCGATGCGACAAAGAGACAGCACTGTGGCATCTCCAAACACTTGCGAAAATCCGAAAATGTAGAGTTTGGTCCCCACGTGCCTTGAGCCCGATTACGATTTGACACCGTTATGTTCAAGTCGACTTACTAGGGATTCTACGATTAACCATCTATCACATTTGTCGAAGATGAGAAGTAGGTACAGTTTACTAACAAATGAACAAGCGGCGGTAGTCCAGCTCAACGCTTCGGGAGATCTTATTGCTTAAGTTCAACCTCGTCCAAGTAGGGCCTTCTCGGATTTTTGGTGGAACACGAGAGGAGATAAGCTCTGGAAACCCCTACGTGTAGATGTCGCAGTTAACGCAAAAGTCAACTATCCACAGCTCGATTGCAACGCTTTCAATACGAAAGAAAAACAAGGCAAAGTTTGCTCTTGTATGACACCGTTGAAAAACCTCTTGCTTAGAAAATTCAGGAAAATTTTGAGACTCTAGGACGGAGAGTTCTTCCGTATTCACATTATAGCACTGATCTCGTGCCAAAGGATGCCTACCTGCTCCCCTCTCCAAACCATCTCCTAGAGGAGAAAGCTCATCCTAACTATGATGATGTCAAAATTGACATCTGATTTTCAATTCAGTAGAGTTCAGATTCAGAAGGGAGGCATCGAGCAGCTACTAGTGTGTTGGGAATAGGTTGTAGATATTGATGGAGGGTAGCATGCAGGATGAATGGAACAAAAAGATAATGAAAATATTAACTTCAAAATTCGGCCAGTTTGTCGCAAGACTTATGGGCCAATCTAATAGTATAAGGCCATCCCAAAATTTTGCATTCACGGAACAGCAGCCAACTGGGTCTTTTCGGTTTTTTTTCTTCTAGTTTTTTTGCTAAAGTTCTAAATCACCAATGGTTTTCTCACTACGAATAACCACTGGATCGCAGTTTTGGTGGGAGAAGCCTATCTTCTAACTTGTTATAGTTGTTTTTTGATTTCTTCAGATTCATGGATACGTTGTCAGGATGAAATACAAATAAAAACGCTTTCTTCGAATTTATTAGAGCAACATAAGTCTATAATCAACAATTGAGGAGATCCACCAGCTGGTCTGTTGATCGGCCGCCCAAGAAAACGTTTAGTGGGTCACCTGCTATACTATTCAGTACTTCCCTGAAAGTATCTTGTTGAAACAAGCCAATTCGGAGAAATTGCATGAAAGCTATCTATTATGCCTCACCTTACTACGGGAGTGTAATCGCCAGTAACAAGAACTCTGACTCTCGATCGTTCCCTGAAATATCTCAGTGGGACACTTGAAGGCACAACTCAGGATAAGGTCAATGGAGTAAAGGCTAAGCACAAAAAAGGTAGAGAAATCTGCAAGCCTTAAGGTCGCACCGACATCGCGACATGAAACTGCCAGACAAGGACGCCGAGGCGTTAAACTCATACGAGGTACCACCTAGCGACTGGGAATTAGTCTACAAATAACGACATAGGCCAAATCCACTCTCGTTTCTATTCGTGCTCTCCTATCGCGTAACCGATTCTTTCTACTCTCCAACCCGGAGCTCAGTTTACACTGCGGTGCACAATAGATTGCATCCTATATAAAACTCAGCTTTTGAAAGATGCCGGAACTTTTATTGTTTCTGCCGTTGATATGTTTCTCAGGAAAGTAGACTAATAATATTGACGCAATAATCAGTTAGATACAGTGTCCCTAAAATTTTTTAGAAAGAAATATCCATTTTTGGCGGTGCACAATAGATTGGACGACTTAAGATATTTGATTTTTCCGACGATTTCTTTTCTGTTTTTCAAATTTGCATATACTCACATATTATGCGATGTATATATACGCAACTAGCAACGAATAATGGAACTGACGCGTTACGTCGCCTTATTATGGGTTATCTCCAAATCCCTAAGGAACCCAATATTCTTAGGAGCACAATCGCAACTATCATCGAGAATCATTCCTGTTCTGAAGAATAAGGTAGTACGGAAATCAGTTGTTCTATGGCGCTGTTTGATCAATTTGGTATCGAGTTCCACAAGGGCTGCCTATGAATTGACTGCCTATTGCGGGATTCCGGTTTCGAAACGGACACTGTCATGCATCTTCAAAATATCGGACCACATAGTTCGACAATAAATAAAGTCGGCACTGCGCCTGACTCAAAATCGCCGACATGAGTAGCTCTCTCTTGCGAGGAATGGGAATAGCAGAGATTATTAGGCAGCAGGGTGTCCTAGGCACATTTCCATCTCGATGTTGAATTCTAATTTTTTTCTATTTTTATTTTTCCTCAGGTAATTTCTTTCAATGGAACGATGTTCATTGGGAATGGGACGGGTGGGTGGCACTCGTACTGGCACGTTACAAGGACAGAACCACTATAGGTGACTCGAAGAAACATCGGTGGCCTCTCGTCAATGGTGTGGAGGGCATTCTGTAGTGATGTAATCTTTGGGATTCAATTTGATTCATGTGAATGAGAAGCCAGGACTACTTTTTAATAACGCATTGCTCCTATCTGTTTAGGAGGACCTCAACAAGCACTTCGTCTTCATGCAAGAGAAGGCTTCGAACCATACCTCGCGAAGTACTCCATCCCACTAATCCAACAGCAGCCTATTATTGTCACGGCCGGCATGTAATCCGGTTCCCAACCTTGTCGGGAATATGTGGGGTATACTAATGCGAAAGGTCTACACAAATGGGAAAGCATATGAAACTGTTCAGTCGTTGCGAAATATCACCACAAAGGAGTGGAAAACTCAACCCTCTCTGCTGCCGAGATAGTTCTGATTCAATACCTGATTTTAGTTTCAAGGTTGCTGAGAAGAGGGTAAGCTCCGGTCATTATTTGATGGGGGAGAAGATCTTACGTGTTATTTTTGATCCATCATACATATCGTCCAATCAATTTTGCACCGGCTTAAAAAATGAAAAATTGTTGTCATAAACTTTGAATAAGTATTAATGTCAAATAAATACCACACTACTATTGCTTTGTCTATTCCTAAACTACTATAGTGTAGGAAGAAGCAATAAACGTTTCGTGCTCTCTCGAAAATTGAGTTTTCTGGGGGGTGCAATCTACTGTGCATCGCAGTGTATATCACATCTCGCTGGCTGTCTTTACGGCACCCTTCACAGCCTCCATAGAATATTCACTCAGGGTTTTGGTGAATTCGTTCCCTTTCTCTTCTTCACTGTCCCTCCATTTAGCATCTCTACTTTTGTTTTGGAGCTCAATAACCATACTAGCTTGGTCCAGTGGTGTGCTTTCACAAGAATGTTATCTCATTCCTCTCATACAAGCTGATAAGCTATTTCAAACACTCAACAAACGCGAAATTAATTTTTCTTGACTATAATAATATTAGGATGAGCAATAACTGTCCCGCCGTTTTCAGTTCATAAGTTTATTAACAAAACCAAACAAAAACACCGATAGATGCGTATTCAACAGACGCTCTCGAATAGTCCTCTCTGCGTTCGTGCCTTCATCCCAGGTTTCATTGGTTCTACTAGCAGATGCAGAAGCATCCGGTTTCAAGCTCAACTTGCGCTCATGTAATAGCAGGGGCAATCATTTTTTACTAGTGCCCCATAGTGAAGTAAATACACAAGTGTTGTACATCAAAATGTACAAGCAGGGTCAACCGTCACGTTGGACCGATGTCGAAAATTTTACGACCCCCTCCCCCTTCTGGAGGTCCTCGATACGCCCCCCCCCCTTCAGGATCAACCCTTCACCACCCTCGCCAGCCATCGCCATCATGGGGCTCATTCTGTGCTATCGATTCCGAGACCAGGTCGACACAGCCAAACTCCGCCCACTTTTTCGCTACAAAATTTCCGTCGAGTGGGGGACACCTACCACGGAACCGCAAACATCCTCTCACTTTCCCTCTATTTCCACTGCAACATTTTCTAGGGTTGATATACACACCGTGAAACGGCAAAATTTTAGCGCGCCAACCAACTGCATCATCACTTTCCCTGCTGTGACATTAGCGCTACCTCGTGAAATACAACCCCCACCCCCACCCTTCGTTGCACTTTATCCAACGGACGATTAACCCTGTGTACAAAAGATTGAGTGCATTCAGACTCCATCACAACCTTTGAAAATAATCAGCAAAAAATCAAAGAACCGTGACCGAAAAAACGGCTAACTATTGCTCAGCCTAATATTGATATCAATTCACTAATTGTCGTTGACAGGCGGATTTACTGTGGCGGCAAGCGGCGCCGCAAATCAAGCACATGTTATCGAAGCCAAGTCCCAGATCGTATGCCGCCTAGTCCAACCTAGCTTTTCATCCATTCTGGATCTACCGGTTGCTGAGCGCTTGTTTAGTGCGCCTAAAACACTGATAGGGCTGTACATTCGCTAATCCACGCCAGGTGGTCCATATATCATGAGTAAATGGTAATGGGCTTACTTCAATGATCTAGGTCACGAAGGCTCAAGTACCTGAGTCTCTGTGCGTCTACGTTGACCGAGTCAAATGAAAATCCATCGGTGACCACAACGATGTCGGTCCTGCGAACGAATTGCAGTTCGGATGCGACCCTCAATGCGGCACCTGTAGCCGTTATACCAGAAAGAAATCGTGCTCCTAAATTGCATCATGGACCACAAAATAATTGAACAAATCTTCCAGGACAACTTCAAGACAAATCAGAAATGCGATATTGGCTTAGTTCTACAGTCTTCCATTACCAAAGTGAATCTATAAGCCAATTTTGTTATGCATTGTGGCAAGAGTAGGAGGCAGGTAGGAGAGACCATTTGGGATAAGATGAGTACCCAGTAATGCGGTTTTGAGCGCTGATCGCAAATCTGTATTCTATATCTGCTAAATAATTCTCCCAGCAAAGAGACACCCGAAGACGCATTAGGTCCGACAAATCTCACTTCAATGAGCCAATTCTACCTTCCATCCTTTCCTTGGGAACAGCAGTGGTCAACAGAAAGTGGCGGGCTACTTCGGTTTCAAGGGGATGAGTCTTGCATCGACATCGCCTTTTTCAAAGATTGACCGCTCTTTATGTATGTCATACGAAGTCCATAATGAGACAGTAAGGATCAACTCCACAGACAATCAAAAAAAATAATCGTGTCTGTGTAATGGTAGCTACAAGTAAAACTCACGCAATAGCTTCTTCACGAAAAGATCCTTAGAAATATTAAGTTGTGGAGGTATATTGATGCGCTGTCGTGTCCTACCAGCGTACGTCATGAGACCATACTGAAAATGAGGATGAGTACTCTAACACGGTCTCTCACGAAGATGATCCAGCCTGAGAATGGAATTTGTGTGTTTTACGATTAAAGCGAGGGATTACGATAAGTTTGGACTGGGTTCATAGTGGAAGTGGAGATGCAGGATAATGCCCCAGTGGCGAAAAAAGCAAAGAAATCCGTCAAGAAGGCGCAAAATGGGACCCCTTTCTTTGCCCGTTGACCTCCGATAATGGACGAGCTAGCAACCGATTAGGAGGTCGTTTGCACATGCTATGCTGATAGCCTCTACCATTTCAGCAAGCATCATGCTTTGACTGATCCCATGAAAAGTTATAGGACAAACTCTGGAAGTGGAATATCTCGTCATCATTGACCATCGAAGGGCGCTGCTGCTGGGGGCGGAGCACAGACCGTGGCGGGGCTCAGAAAGGAATGGCAAGCCTTGTACGCTGCAACTAGCGCACCTTTGACCACAAAAACGCAACATTTCGTTTCCTTGGGCCCCTGACTACTGCTTCCAATGGTGCATGTACTTCCACGCTGCATACGCACTTTATCGTAATCTCTCGCTTTAATGGAATGGGCATGGGCATTATATCTCAATGTTTGAGCTCATGAACACTCTCTTGCCTAGATAGTCGAATGTGAATACCTTTTCTTATTTATTTTCTTAAGGCATCATTACGAGTGGCGCAGTTGGTCGCTAGAAGCCGAATGAGTGGAAAAACGGAACTCAAAACAACAATACCGTCACTTGATGGTCTTATTTGGACTTCCATGGCTAAGGATCGTAATAGGAGAGGACCAACATCTGGAGGTGGATTTCCGAAAGAAGAACTCTAGAGAAGATCCCGCTATATTGAAGAACAAGGAAGCAAATGAGGATGGTGTAAGTCGGAGGGGCTCAAGCTATCGCGGCCAATTTCCTCGCCACACATCACTCACTAAGGTCCAGAAATGACTCTAACGAGCAATCTATTCTAGTACCTGAATGATGCTCGTATGACAACACAACTATGTATAGCGCTGGTTTTATCTCGTATCTGAGCTCGCACACGCTTCCAAGTATTTCATCTCTGCCAGATCGACCGGCTATTCGTCAGGAACGAAACATTCACTGGCCTATGCACACATATCAGAAAAATATTCAGAAAACCCAGTGCAAAGCAGTAGTGTTTAACCCATTCGTGACAATGTCAGCCACCGGTGGCTGACAAAGCTCTCACTCGGGACAATGGTATTACTGTGGCTGCAAGGCTTGAGATGGAATTTGGAAAGTTTTCCTCCATGGAAAGAATCTTCATACCCTCGCTCATCTACGCCAGCCCTAGGCAGAGGAAATCTCCCTTCACTCGGATTTTGAAGAAAAACCTTCTGACGCTGCTGCTATTGCGCGATCCGAATGGTCGCGAATGGGTTAAGTATTAGCTCGTGAAGAAAGTCCTTGCGCTTTTCGACCACAAAATTCAAATGCATGTATCTCGGCTCATTCAAAACATTTTTGTTTGAATTAAAAATTCAGAGTTGACAAATCTGGTAATAAGAAACGGGTTGAATTAGTCTGTCGCGCAGAATAATGGAGCTCTAGCGACGATGACCCCGGTCGAGGTCGTTCCAGCATCATGTTGGGTTTTGAGGCATAACTCTTCAAAGACGTTATCCAGGTCGTCGAGAAAGTGAGAAGTTATAGGCAAAAGGACTACGAGTAGGATCACTGCAGGACTAGTTTTGTATCTTAGTTTGTATTTTTATCGATTGTCGCAAATGAGTAAAAAGCAGGTCGTCTTCTTTGCATAAAACAAGCTAGAATGTGGGAGACGACCCTTCAAAAGGGTAAGCTGTCGCGGCACATCCTAATAGAATTCTTTGGACTTTCTAGCCCTTTCCGTGCTACAAGAAGCCACAGAGCGATTGAAATCACTTTAGTAGGAACCTTCTCAATAGCTCCGTCCAACTGTGCCTCAACCAAAACGTTCGGCTAATCGTTGACATTGTCCAATATCCGACCACCACTCTCATTACGACTGTTCTTTTTGCGATTGTTTCAGACCGTATTTATGAATGCGAATCTCAGCCAAGGGCATGTTTGAAATCTTGGCCTGCATCCGCCCCTTACAGGCCTGTTTTGAGCAAGAGAAAGGAAATCATGCAAATCTGCTCTGCGAGTATGTCGTATTTAAAGCTTCAGAAAGTGCTAATCAAATGATAAAGAAGAAAGCTGATCCCACTGTCAGACATAAGAAGAGAAGCTTTTCAAAAAGATGTATAGCACTATGGCAGCTTGCCTGAAGTCGAAACAAAATAGAACGCTCTAAATGGAATACCAGAAAGCGCAAGAACTTCCTTCACGAACTATTATTTTCCGGACCACGTCTTCTATAGCTATGTACAGGTTCGTTTCGTAGTTTGAAGGTAAATAAGCCCGGGAGAAGTTGCGCATGTGAATAGTGAATTGAGCGTGGTGCCATAGAGTGTCACGCCGTCCCACGCCGAAAGTACGGACCAGGAGCTGTTGTCAAAGTGGTCAAGATTCGAAACTGATCAACCAATTAAGAAACATTAAAAAATGAAAAAGTAACGCAATTACGCGTCGATCCTTGTCCGAGAGCTGCATGAGAATGTTGCCGATGTAAAGTTTCTGCTTGTCATACTGTTCCAAGACATTGCCACTAGAATCGAGTACGAAGAAGAGATCCGAGCAGACTGGAATCTTCTATACTTTGCTAATTTTGTTCAACTCTAAAAAGCTTACATTCAAGATATCACCAGACTCTTCAGCACTGCTATTGTGTGGTACATTGTCATCATCTGCTACGGCGATAGTGGAACTAGATTCCACACTGACTTGTTCCTTAAAAGAATAAGTTATTGACGCCATAATCAACAAAAACTCGCCATAGGCGAAGTATGTAGGATGAGTTAGTCGGATAGATCAGCACCAGCAGCGGGGATCACCGTTTGCAACCATGATGTACATGCGTGGACATACCGTTTTGAAACTGCGCATACACGCACGCATAGGACGTTTATGGTTAGGTCATATTGCGGCGTGCTGCGTACAGTGACCGCGGTTGTGCGGTTATTGGAATGAATGACATTCAAATGCACCACACAATGTCGTGTCGTGATCGGATAATACACTCCAAAGGTACCGCCCTACCATGCTTGAGTTATAACAGCTGTAAGCAATCTTAACCTTGGAGAATATTCATCGTGGTCACCTTTAAAGGCAGCTCCGGAATAAAACTAGTGTATAACTGAGCACCAGAGTGATGGATGAACTGCGAATGGACTAAAAGTGGAAAAGAAAGCAAGCGAAGATATTAGAAACACTAAAATTAAGGCCTTGACCTCCAGTAAGATCGGATGTGGTACGAGGGCGAGATAAAATTATCACAGAAGATAGACCACGCAAGAGAGCATTCCGTTCGAGAGCGCGCTGATCTCCACATCAGTTTCGGAAGGGTGAGAAGCGTTGCAGTAAGGGCCGATGGTTGCAGCACCTCAACGATTAGCGCCGTGTATTTTGTGCGACGGATGTGGTACGCTTTCTGTAGAGAAGAACACTACAACTTTCCTCGCAGTATCCTTCCTACTACTTGGGCTAATGCCGAGGCTTGCCTTCAATGCTAAGGACTACACGAATTTAATTTTCAAACGCGATCCTTCCTACTATTGCGTGAAGGGAGCTAAATCAGTTGTAGATTGTTTTCTCCCACTGCGCATCTGCTACATAAATAAAGGTACTCTCCATGGTCAAGCTGGCGTGATTATTCCGCTAAAAAATGAGAAAGTAAAAAAAAGTTGTGCAAACTGGATGCGAAGAGAAAAAGAAGCGGAACCTCCTAGACCTCGGAAATAATTGAAGGCCTCCTTATCTGGGTTTTTTGAATGCTGCGCCTTCAGTTTTAATTTTGCGAGGAATGACCAGATCGAGATGATCGGCGAATGTGCCCCTAGGGTCGCATTAGATAGTGGTGCTTGCAGGTGCACCGCAAGTATGCTTAAAAAAAAGCTTCAAAGAACTTTTCAAAAGCTTTTCTGCTTTCATTCAAATAGGAATAGCAGACTAAAGGTCACTTCACTACCAACTCTGGCCCATAGAAAAGACCACTCAGGAAGGAAACGAACGTAAATATGTTACGAACCTCAGTAGTATTATTCGAAATGTCCGGATCCAGCGCAGCCAAAGTTGATGACGTCAGATTTATATCACTTTCATTGCCTTCCACCGTAAGGTTGGATAATGCTTCAGGCATTGTAGGGGCTTGGGCGCTCAAAATTAATAATTTATCAATCTCATCAATAGTAAGCTCTCGTCCAACATCACTGGAGATTTCGCTACTGTTGGATGTTTTGGCATCTTCTAGCCTCTCAGTGGAAATTTCTGTGCTACTGGACATCCTCGATTCCCTTGTGCTATCATCAAAAATGTCGCTACTTGTTGAAGTTCTGTCACGTCCAGCGTTTTCACTTGTATTTTCGTTAGCATTGGATAACCCGACGTTTCCTGCACTCTCTGTAGAAAGTTCCCCGCTTCTGGACGCACTGGCATCTCTCGGGATACCACCGGAGTTCTCCTCTGAATTTTCGCTACTGCTAGATTTTCTGGCAACATCTATGTTCGCAGTGAGAATTTCGCTACTATTGGTGGACATCCTGCCATCTCCATTGATATCACTTGAAATTTCACTGCTGTTGAATATTGTTACTGCTTCTGTGAATTCGCTTGGAATTTCGCTGCTGTTAAATGCATCTCCTAAGAGATTTACTGCTGTGACCATCGTGCTCTCTAAAGCGCTCACTGTGCTTGTCGCAAAAGTGGTTTCGTTAGCCTCAACAGAAGTGAGATTAACAGCAGTAAAGAGCAGGGCATCTGAATCGTCAGAAGCTGTTGAAGCTGCTGCCACTGGTGACGATGTCACAGAAATCGTCACTGGTGACATTGTTGAGGTCCGAAATGTGTCGATGTCCAAGCCCGCTTCTTTCCAAGGTGGCAGGACTGTAGGCAGGTTGCTTGGATACCACTGTTCGGCATGGAACGATAACGGCGGTTGTATACCCGGTGGACCGGATCCTAAAAAGAGTCAATCATAATTTGCATAATCAATCATAATCGAAATTTGCAAGTTGTTGTGTTTCGTACTTCTGTCTCGAGATTTTTAAGGTGGAATTTTGAACTCAAATTGACTAATAAACATCAAAAAAGCTCCACCCAAAAAAATCCGCGGCAGAAGTATAAACACAACGACACATACGAAAATGTGACGTTTATTCTTGCTCCTGTGGCAAACAGGTTAGGATGGTGGAATCTTTATTGAGCCTAACGTTTCGACAAATTCGTCGTTATCAAATGCCTGAAAGCGTTTCGAAACTTCAAGTGCTACCTATCCGCTCGACATAATTACACATTCAGCCGCCAAGTGAACGCTTACCAATTAGCATTAGCATTAATTTGACATATAACTGAAAACTCGTGCTGTTTCTTCCTTTATTCTTCAAATCGAACTTTGGTATTTTTAGCAGAAAATGAATGCAATTAATATGCGCTCATACATACATAGTTGTGCAAGTGAATTATAAATGTATTGCGTGAAATTTCAATCCTGTTATTGGAGCTGAAGAAGTATGAATGGGTTCACAAATGAGAATAAATTCACTGCGCCTTGCTCTATATAAGAAGCCTCACTGTCTTTTTTTGATGGCAACCTAACAACTATTGGGGGATTTGGTCGCTACTCCTATACCCAGCCAAGGGAAGGAGAAGGTCAAGTCAAGTTCATTGTCAAGAAAATAATCAAAAGGTCGGGAGTCGAAATGTTGTCTGAAATCAGCGTATGAATCGATGTAAGTTGATAACAAATAAGATAAGAAAAAGATAAAGCATTTGCCGTTGATCAATCCCTTTTGGGATGCGGCACGCATTCTACTTCCATTTGTACATTCGCAGTGGCTTTTTTGAATGCGATGTGGCCTATACAATGATTTGCGGGGGCCAGCCGATGTACAAGTCAGTGTTTTTTATCCTCCCAGACAAGTCTGGTACCAATTAACCGACCCCGGAGGGATGGAAGGCTTGGTTGGCCCGGGCGACTCACGACCCAGGATTTGATCCCCGAACCGCTCGCGTGGTGAGCGCGCCACTTGTCACTACACCACTTCCGCCCTGGAAAACTACATAGACTGTATTATGTTTGTGAATTTGCGTAATAAATTAGTATTTTTAACTATTATGAATGATTTGTTTCCTCAATTGATTGCGTTCTACCTGATTATTAGAGAAGTCTGGGTGGTGTTGTGACCCTTAAGCCGTCAGTCAGCCTTAATGAGGTCACTTCGGACTGTCGCACATAGGGCTGACTCATTCATAATGTTCGAAGTTGGGCTGGCAGGCGTACCAGTTGGTTACACCCCGCGACCCGGGCCGAGGGGTCAACCTAGGTGGTTACTTGGAAGCAATCCAAAAAAAAAAAACGAAAAAGCTTGAAACTCGAAAAAACGATTCGTAGAATGTTTCACTCGTTCGGCGGAGGGGGTTCTTACCTGGTTGGGTTTCGTGTGGGGGGGTTTATTAGGTTGGGATTTTGGGGAGCGCGCGGAAGGAAAACTCGCGTTCGGCACAACGAGTGACGTGCATATTCCGACCATCCGCTCCGCGCTTCGATTACAATTTTGGAGGAAGAAGTGGTTGGAGTTGAGTGGGTTGGGTCGGGTACCGATAATGACCTATACTTATAGAACTGGGATGCATGGTGGTCGATGTTGGGTGGATGAGAGTGGTCAGTTTGTGGTGAGGGGTGGTATGGTCGATAAAATTTTGTTGCAAAAGAGTAACAAGGCGATTTAGGCGACCCTGCCGGGGGGTATGGGCGATGATGCGCCGGGTACATATCATAATTGGTGTGTAATAAGGGTTAGATGGCGATACGGTCAGATGGTTATTATTGCTTTATATATGAATTTAGCGCTGGTGAACAAGTCAAAGAAAAGTTACGTATGGTCTATGATTGATAGTATGATATAAACTAATATGCGCGGAGAATAGATGGTGATCAGCAGATGGTGGGGGGGTCGAATTTGGGGATTCACTTTTATTGGAATCACTTTTCCCTTCGAAAACGTTCCTAATCTGTTAACCGTTGGAATATGTACGGACGCGATCTCGCCACAAAGCCGCCCGCCAAAAACTTTGGGGGGGCCCGGGGCCTAAGTTTGCCGGAGCCGCCCAAGTGACTTAGATTATTCGTTGACAGATCTTGCATTGTACAAACTTGTACATCCGCGATGCTATGTTGATGTGCGTACACTAGAAGGGCGAAATATTGAGAACGAGGCCGCGAACTTGGAAAAATAGGAGGCCGTACCTTTCCGTTGATTGTTTGCGCAATAATTCGACTCGGCAGTCGCTATGTTCTTCCCGAGCACGTATCCTCATTGTATACGATCTATAATCAGCATGTATAGATCACGTGCGCGCGAGATCTTACGCAGCTACGGATATTCGAAGTCAGATTAGGCGTGGCTATGGGTTGCGGGGTGTCCCCAGCCAGGCCATCCGCGCTGACGAAGCAAGAGGATGCGATGCGGAAAAGGGAGAGTGCGGCGCGTGAACTGTGCGATAGTGGCGATCTCAGTGCAGGTTCAACTCTCCTTTAACCTGAGCTAAACGGTACAGATTAGCAGCTGGACAACTCGTCCCTTTGCGCGTCTGGTCTCATAGTTTGTCGGCACCCAGCGATGGGCACTCTTGGGGTTACCATGGGGTAACGTGGCCCGTAGTTCGCACTTTTTGATAGGACGGTATGAGGGTGTTTGTTCTACCATAAATATTACGTTGTTTCTTTTGGCGTATCTGGGTATCGAGGTCTACAATCAGTTGATTGGCGTATTTATTAGCGGCACCTCTATCAGTAGCGGGCAACCACCACGTCAAACCAAGAAGCACGCTAATCGACTCAGAGATATCGAGATTAGGGTTAGTCCGGTGGCTGCGTCTCAGGTTTACCGCGACAAGTCGCGTTTTCAGCTGTTGCTAGATCGACCATAGTGTCTCAATTTTGTTCGCTGCCAACTGTGTACCACTCACCTGGGTTCTTGTTCGCTCAGCAGCCCTCAGTAGAAGCGTTAACTCCCTGTTTCACACTAGGAATTATATCACATTCGTAGGCGACCTTCGTACTTATCGTGGAAATCCCGTATTCGCGAAACGGCCATTTCGAGCGTATTTCACCTCTCTCATTCTGGAGAGGTTTAGCGGGGACGTGGAGGTGTTCGGTGGTCGCCAGATTGGAGGTAAATAAACGCAATGGAGAGATCCGTAACAAGATTGCGCTCAAAGTCGTATTAAATCTCCCTGATTGCCTGTTATAATAGATTTATCAACCAATTGAAATAATTGACTGCCGCGTGGCAAAAGAGAACTGTCCAGGGTCGTGAAGGAAGTGGTCTGGAAGTGTTCAGAGGAGACGATATGGGAAAAAGTGACACCAAAGTGTGAAATTTGTCTGGTTAGGGGCTGTGGGCCCATTTCAACTTGGGCGAAGAAATTAAATGATTCACAGTTCACAAAAAAATTGTGTGTCTCAAAGTGGTACGATTTGGAAAATTTCGACCTAGTTTAGTGTGCTTTGCGACTTAGGCGCCACCTATCTGGGGGCGGAGACCGCGGCAACGAAGAGGGGCGATTAGAAACAGCTATCGTTCACGTTAATCTCTCGGTACAATGAGTGCAAAAGGACATTGAGCATTTAAGCGTTTTT